CTCCGTCAATGTGATGTACGTTGATACATTCAGACAGCTGAAGCTGAAGAAGACCGAGCTCCGGCCGATACGGACTCCGTTATCCGGCTTCACCGGGGACTCTATCGACGCCGAGGGCACGATAGTGCTTCCCGTTGTGGTCGGTGACGGTACCTGTCAGGCGAAGATTGACATGGAGTTCGTGGTTGTCAACCTGGACAGCGCCCACAACATGATTTGGGGACGACCGGCCTTGGAAGACCTTGAGGCAATCATCTCCATGAGACATCTATGCCTCAAGTTCCCCACCAAGGACGGCGTCGGCTACGCCAGAGGGAACCAGAAGATAGCCAGGGCTTGCTACCTGAAGCTCACAAGGAAAATCAATGAAGCCGAGGAGCGGATAGACACCATCACCACCGCCTCGGCCGAAGAAGACACACCAAAGGCCGAACCGGTCGGAGACGTGGAAGATGTTCCGTTGGACGTCTCCCGGCCAGAACGCATGCTGAAGATTGGGACACAGCTCCCCCAACAAATCAGAAGGGACATCCTCTCTGTCCTAAGGGCGTACGCCATCGTCTTTGCATGGGGGCCAGAGGACATGCCGGGCATCAGCCCGAAGGTAATCACACATCGGCTATCGGTGAACCCGGCCTCCTCCCCCATCAAACAGAAGAAGCGCTACCTCTCAGCCGACAGGAGGGAATTTGTCAAGGCCGAGGTGGCCATGCTGCTCAACATCAAGCACATCAGAGAGGTGAAGTACCCCACGTGGTTGGCGAACGTCGTCCTCGCCCCAAAGCCGCCTACGTTCAGAATGTGTGTTGATTACACTGACTTGAACAAGGCGTGCCCAATGGACCCATTCCCTCTCCCCAACATTGATCAGTTGGTGGATGAGACGGCGGGGTGCGAGTTGATGTCGTTCCTCGACGCGTTCAGAGGGTACCACCAGATATCCATGCACGAAGATGACGCGGAGAAGACCGCTTTTATGACCCCGGAAGGAATTTTTTGCTACCTCGTCATGGCCTTTGGGCTCAAGAACTCCGGCGCCACCTACACAAGGATGGTAGCCCGGATTTTTAGAGCAGTCTTAGGTCGGACGATGGAAGCATATGTCGACGATATGATCGTCAAGAGCAAACAATCCACAACCCATGCCGACGACCTCCGGGGCATCTTCGAGATCATGAATAGATACAACCTCCGGCTCAACCCAAAGAAATGCACCTTCGGCGTCCAGGGAGGTAAATTCCTGGGGTACCTGGTCAGTCGAAGGGGCATCGAGGTGAACCCGGAGAAAATACAAGCCATCATCAATATGGAGCCACCCCGCAACATCAAAGAAGTACAACGGCTGACGGGACGCCTTGCGGCCCTGAACCGTTTCCTTTCAAAATCCGCGGAGAAGTCGCTCCCCTTCTTCCAAATAATGAGAAAGGCCACTAGTTTCAAATGGACGACGGAGTGCCAACAAGCCTTTGACGAACTGAAGCAATATCTCGCCTCCCCACCCGTCCTATCCAAGCCCCAACCCGGCGAGACTCTCTTCCTCTATTTAGGAGTGAGCACGTCGGCCGTCAGCTCCGTACTCATCAGGGAGGATGACGGAGTACAAAAGGCAATATTCTACGTCAGCAAGACGTTGCGGGAGGCCGAGCTCAGGTACTCCCCCATTGAGAAGACGGTGCTGGCCATCGTCCACACGGTGAAAAAACTGGGTCACTATTTCCAGGCCCACCCCGTCCACGTCCTCACGCATCAGCCGTTGGGCGCCCTCATGAGGAGCCCAACCAGCTCTCCAAGGATGATCAAATGGGCGATATTCCTGAGCCAGTACCAGATTGAGATCAAGCCGAGGCCATCCATCAAAGGGCAAGCCTTAGCTGACTTCGTCACCGAGTGCACGGCAAGGGAGACGGCCGTTACCACCACAGGAGCTGAACCGGACGAAGCCTGGACCCTCTACACGGACGGGTCCTCGGCCACCAAAGCTTGTGGGGGTGGCGTCGTCCTCATCTCCCCGGAAGGTTTCAGAGCATACTATGCCATCCGCTTCAACTTCAAGGTGTCCAACAATGAGGCTGAGTATGAAGCGCTCCTCAGTGGGCTCAGACTGGCCGCTGGCCTCAAAGCGCGCCACATCAGAATCAAATGCGACTCCAAACTAGTAGTGAACCAGATGGAGGGTTCCTACGAAGCCAAAGAAGGGAGGATGAAGCAATACAAGGAGGCCGCTGCGGAATTGCTTAAGGCATTCGACACCTACGAGATCACTCAGATCCCGAGGGCGGAGAACGCCGAGGCCGACATACTCTCCAAACTCAGCTCCGACACTCCTGAGCACATCTCCAAGATAGCGAAGGTGGAGGAGTTGAGCATGTCAAGCATTCACGCCAGTCCCATACTCTCCATACAACATCAGCCGGAGGATTGGATCACTGACATCGCAACCTACATCACCTCCGGCACACTACCAGAAGACGAGGAGAGGGCCAAACTAGCCAAGCTCAGGGCTCCTAGCTATGTCATTGAGGGTGACAAGCTCTACAAAAGATCGTACAATGGCACCCTCCTCCGGTGCCTACACCAGAATGAGGCCGAAGTGGCCATGGAAGAAGTCCACTGCGGTGTATGCTCATCACACCAGGGACCCTTCAGCATGTCGCGCCGCCTCGTCATCCAAGGCTACTTCTGGCCGACGATGGCGCGTGATTGTGCTGAGGTCGCCCGCAAATGCAGCGCATGTCAACACTATCAAAGGGCACCTGGCCGACCCGCCGTCAACTACGCCCCGGTCAGCACCGCCATTCCATTTTCCAGATGGGGCATTGACCTCGTCGGCCCACTACCAAGAGCCGCGGGCAACAACAGATACATCATCGTTGCCATTGATTACTTCACCAAATGGGTCGAGGCCGAACCACTCGCAAGCATCACCGGAGCGCGGTGTCGAAAGTTCGTCTACAAGAACATCCTCACCCGCTTCGGCGTGCCTCAGGAGATCATATCAGACAACGGCACCCAGTTTGAGGCCGAACCGTTCCAAAGCCTCCTCCAAGAATGGGGTATCAAGCACCGTTTCTCCTCCGTCGCCTACCCTCAGGCCAACGGGCAAGTTGAGAACGCCAACAGAACCATCTTGGAGGGGCTAAAGAAGAAGCTCGAAGAAGAAGGCGGAAGTTGGGTCGACGAGCTCCCCAACGTCCTATGGTCCTACCGCACTACGCCGAGGAGGGCCACCGGGGAGACACCATTCTCCTTGTGCTACGGCTTCGAAGCCAAGGCTCCCACTGAGGTGACGCTTCCCAGCCGACGGGTCACACAATACGATCCCGAGGCCAATGAAGAAACAATGAAGGTGGACCTACACCTCATCGACGAGAGACGAGAAATGGCCTACCTCAGAGCGGAGAACTACAGACGACAAGTCAAATCCTACTACGACGCCAAGGTCCGCTCTCGCGAATTCCAGGTGGGGGACTACGTCCTCCGCCGAAGGGAAGCAAGCAAGCCGACGGAAGGAGGAAAGCTCGCCGTCAAATATGAAGGGCCCTACATCATCAGCGCCGTCGTCAAAGCCGGCACTTATAGACTAAAGAACCCCAATGGGTCAGATGTACCACGATTGTGGAATGTACACCACCTGGTGAAATTTTACCAATGACTCGAGAAGTGGTGAAGCGGGCAAAGTCCCCCACCCCTCGGCTTATTGGTTGAATAAAACACCCTCGGCCTAGCGCCACTTATTGAATAAAATTCATGTTTCATCCAATCTTTTAAGATTTGAGCTAAGGGAAACCTAAGGACCGCATCGGCCTAAGCGGTGCAAAACACCCGGGACCGATGCGACCTAAAGCCGTTGCAATAAACAACGCACCTAAAAGCCGTCGCAATAAACGACGCACCCAAAGCCGTTGCAATAAACAACGCACCTAAAGCCGTCACAAGAGAAACGACGCACCTAAGGCCGTTGCGATCCACAACGCGCCTACAAAGCCGTTGCATAGACAACGCACCTAAATATCGTATCGGCACAAGCGGTGAAACACCCAAATCGGCCGGCGATATGCAGGACGAAGGACCTGTGTGCATGGTCCAACGTCTTCAAACGGAGAAGCATACCGCGTCGTCCGCGCGGAAACCGCAGGACGACAGGCCTGAATTAAGGCTGAGGTTACAAAAACTCCACCCGTCAGTAAAATTTCGCTCAGGACCACAAAGGGCGGCCGTCAAAAGACGATGCCTAGTCCGGTCCCTCGTCGACGATAGACGTGGAAAGGCCAAAAAAGAGGCCACTGACACACCAAGCCGAGGGCGTATTTACTCCCTCGCACTAATTCACGCAAAAAGCGTAGCGGACAAACTACCGCACATGGACGAAGGGACAGTAACCCTTCGGCCACTCAAAAAAAAAAAAAAAAGAGGGAAGCCGACGGACCGCGCACTCGCCGGCCTCGAGCAAAAAACAAAATCCCCAAACAACCAAGCCTCAAATCGGCTAAGTACATATCAGGTTTTCACCATACAGGAAGCCGAAGTACACGCTTCGGCAGCAACCACAGCTTCACAAGAGGGATTCACTGTGGTTTCAAAACCAATCCATGACTTAGGTAAAGGGTCGCGTCGTCTCCCCGTAGCAAAACCCAAGTAACGAGCCAAAGCAAAACAGCTCCATCAAGGCAAGTTGGACACTTAGAACATTTTCTTCGCCACTCTACAAGAGAGACGATGCGCTACCATTCCATATCTGGGCATCGCTTCGTCCTCAACACTTCAAAAAACTTGAGACGTGGACAAGATTTGCCAAGGAAAAAATAAAAATTCACTAAGGGACGAGGAGACGCATCGTCCCCAAGGACAGTAAAGGCGAGAAAATCGCTACGTCTCAATCAAGGGACGCCAACGACCTCGAGACACAGCCTTGACACTTAGATAATTTTACAAGAGCAAACATACTTAACTACAAAGACGACGAGGGAATCATGGTGACAAAAAGATTTATCATTAATGGATGAAAAGATACAAGAGGTGGGCACTTCGGCCATTACATGCACTTCAGTGCTATGGCTACAAAAAACTAATACAAAAAAAATACTAAGCTACAACATTAGCTGGCACTCCACCATCAACAGCACCGTCGCCGTGGCCGTCATCGGCATCATCATCACCACCACCCTCATCGGCTTGGGAGTCGGCAGGCCCTTCGAGCAAATAGTCGTCACTATCACTCCACGACTCTTCCCCTTCAGACGAACTTAGGATCAGGGGCTGCCTCTCCAACAGGGGGAGTTTCAAATCCTCGTCAGGATTCTTCATTCGCCGAGGGAGACTCAGACCCCTCGGCCTCATCTTCCGGAAGCGACGACGAAGCTTCCTGTAGATCAGCTTCTGCATTCTGTACTGACCACAGTCGTAGAAAGCTTGCATCTCGTTCATCCAGAATTCTTGGCCGGCGGGGTCCTTCGTCGTCCAATCATTCAACCTCTCAGCAACCACCTCATAGCAGAAGGGGAGCTGGTCCTCGGCTTTCCACCCCTCGGCCTTGAAGTCGGCTACGGCCTTCTCAGCAGCCCCCTCCGCCTCGGCTTTGAGCCGCTCCGCCTCCTCGGCTCTTTGGACGGCAACGGCAACGGCCTCATCAGCTTTTCTCCGGGCTGACTCGGCCTCATCAAGACGCAGCTGAAGGAGCTTCATTTCACCCTCCGCGGCCTTGGCCTTGTCCCTCAGATCTTGGAGAGCCTCATCGGCCGAGACAGCCTTTGCCTCCATCTTCTTTAGCCGCTCTATTTCGGCTTCCTGTCTCCAGTGCTGCTCCCGCAGCATTAGGGCACCCTGGACGAAGCGGAATTTGAAATCAGAAGAGAAACAAAAGCAAAAAAAAAAAAAAAGAAAGAAAATCACTAAGGAAAATGTCTTACCTGGACGACATAGTCCATCCCTCCGTCGTACAGCCGAACATGCTGGCCTTGTCGGCCGAGATACTGGCGATCATACTCAGGCATAGCCTGAGCAAGCATGTCATCACCACCGACGGTCTCGTTGAAAAGACCACCTTTGACAGGGTATCGTACGGAGACCTCATACGACCCCTTAGCAAGAGCCTCCTCCAAACGGGCGGCAGCGGCAGTAGAGGGAGCAACTCGAGAAGCCGAGGCCACAACGGCCGATGAAGGGGGATCATTCACAGGAGGGACCGCCGACGGCTGAACATCCGCAACAGCCCGAGATGAGGGGGCGCCGGCCTCTTCATTCGTGGGAGCCCTCTTCGTCTTCTTCGAAGCCTGGCTCAGTTTTAGCCCCGCTTCGGCCAGAGTCTTTTGGCCCTCATCAGCAGCCCTCCTGCTCTTCTTAGCCACAGGCTTCTTAGCGGCCTCAACACCCCCTTGGGAACCGCCCGCAGACTTCTTTGCTGCCTCGGCAGCTTGAGCAGCTTTCAACTCCGCATCGGCCTTCCTGGCGGCCCGAGCCATAAATGACATGCGATCCATATTGAAGCCTGCACAAAAATACACAAGGGTTAGCAAAGGAAAACGAAACATCATGAAAAGAGAAAGAAAGGAGGTCAACCTTCGGCCTCAGCCGGCACGCCTAGACGGGGCCCATCGGCTTGCTCATAAGACCCCACCATCTTCGGCCAAAGATCATCATCGACATCACCAGGACAATAGTATCTCACGAAGCCGAGAGCAGCCATCCGATACTCAGTAACGTATGTCTTGATGCTCCTCGGCCCCCCCTTAATAAAGGCCTCTACTTGATTACTTATTTCGGCACTCCAAGGGGGGGTATGCAATTCAAAGAGGCCGATGTGACCATTGGAAGGAAAGAAGCCACCCTGACCCAAGGTGACGAACACGAACTTGGCCTTCCAGCCATGAATGGACGTAGGGAGATCCGTAAACGACCTCCTCCCACTAATCTGCTGCAGGGTTGCGTAGCCGGCACAGTTTTGATGGCTCCCTCGGCCTATCCGGAACAGGTTCATAAACAGGGCAGTCGTCGGCGGAATCTCCAACTCTTTACACCGGATCAAGAAGCCGATGATGAGCGAAAAGCTGTTGGGAGTCAATAAGGCCGGAGGGAGCTCCACCATCTCAAGATACTCCTTGATGAAGGGATGAAGAGGGAATCTCAGACCCTTGGCAAAACTCATCGGGTAGACACCAAAATAGCCCAAAGGCGGGTTCAGAACATGATCCGACGGCAAGGGGGCTCTGACACGGCCGTAGGGACCGACGTACAGCTGCGCAACGTGATAATCGCCGAGGGTCCCCTCCGGCCGAATGATGTACAAGTTGCTGAGATCTAACTGTGAATGCCCCTGCGGCACCCCGCTACGCTTCTTCCGCCGGTACGGCTTCTTCGTTCCAAGAACCGGGGCACCTTCACCCGCAACGGCCGAGATCGGCGGAGGGCAAGGAATAGTGGCCGAAGAAGAGGCCCCATCCCCCCTCAAGGGCGAGCTAGAAGTCGCTTCGTCCTCACCGGAGTTTTGAGCACCTGCATCGTCACTCAGCCTCCCCTCGTCAACCGATGTGCGGTAATCTGCGGTATTTTCCATCTCCACAGCCAGCTCGTCCACAAGAGCCAAGTTGATCCGAGGCGACGTATCTGCCTCGTCGAAAGGCCAATCCTCTTCGTCCAACGACGCTGTCAAATCAATGGGGGAGGGAACGCTACGGCCGTTAGGGAACGGCATAACACCTAAACCTATTCCTAAGGGCGGTTTTTCGGATCAAAGTGACTTTCCTACGAACACTAGATCTAACCCCCTAGGAAGCAAAGTATAAGGAAAAACGAAGAAACAATTACAAGAACCTAACCTTGAAGTTTTGAAGAACACTTGAACACCTGGAGATTCGGGGAAGCACTTCTCTCTCTAGGAATCTCAGCAGCAATTCGACTTAGGCAAAAGGCAAATGAGGGAATGGCTTCGGAATTGGGGGTATTTATAGGCACCCCTCCAACGGTCACTACACGTGGCAATCCCCGATTGGACACCTCAACGGCGCCTCTCCTAAAAGCCAATCAGCGCTTGTCTTTTCACATTCCACTCTAAAGCCACCACTACGGCCCAACAGGCCCCGAAACTAGGGGTAGGCACCGGCCTACTCGCTCAAACGCAATAAGAAACTCGCTACGGCCCAATTTACCAAGGAAATGGCCGCATCAGCAAACACGCTACGGCCCCAAATCAACCCCAAGAAACACAAGTACCGCTACGGCTACTCACACGCACATCGTTTGATGATGACCCTGGTATTGCGGCCTTCGTCCAAGGGTTCTCCCACAGGGTTACCTTGGACAGGTTCGCCTAAGGGTTGGACTCACGACTAACGCATGGGGTACCGTATCGGCTCGAGAACATCATGACTCCCTTGTGCCTCAGATACCCTTCGGCCAAAGGAGTGGGGGACTGGGGGACTGTATTGGCGACATGAAAGGAAACAACATAAAACGGAGCGCAACGGCCTAAAAGCAAAAGGGTGCGCTACGGCTCACCAACAAAAGACGGGCAATTTACCTCAAATAGGCATTGAGAGTCACATCAGCTACCTCAAATAGCATTACAGATCGCATCGGCTAAAGAGCCCAAAAATTTAAAACCCAGGAACAGAACCCAGCTCGCAACGGCTACGTATACTGGGGGGACTGCGTCGGCTCACTAAAGCAAGAATACACAAGTCAAAGCGCTTCGTCCACATGACAAGTCAGAAGCGTGCGGTTCGCATCGTCATCGTAAACAAGATCAAACATTTTTGCTTCATAGAAACCATGTCACCACAACGGCAAGAAGTACATGGGGACCTCTTCGGCCCCAACAAATGGTGATAAAACAGGCCAGTTCTTCCATAATTCACATCTACTGGAAAGAAGAAAGCGCACCGCAACGTCCTCTAAAAAAAAACACTTTTCACAAAGAGCGCATCGGCCTGCACCAAAGTTATGAATCCTCAAGCGCGCTCCGTCTACATCAAGAGAGGGAACCGCTTCATCCCAAAATCAAAACAGAAACTCTTCGGCCAACAAGCACCTCGAGCTCACGCAACGGCCAGCCGGAAAGGAACAAATACTCCCTTTCGCTTCGGCTTCGCCTCAGCTCAGAGAGTGGGGGACTCCTGATAGAGTATATGGGCCTGGACCCCATGACCCACATACTCAAGACAATGACGACCAGAAGAACACCCACATGGCCCCTTCGGCCAGTGGGCCCGCATCGGCCAGAAATCAAACCGGCCCAGGAAGCGTGCTTGGACTCCCGGGGCCGCATCGGCCCATGGACCGCATCGGCCAGGGGACCGCATCGGCCAAAAGGCACCGCATCGGCCAGACTTCGGCCGGGCAGAATGCATCTCTCTACTTTATTTACTAAGTGTTGTACATAGCCCATTAGTGGCCCTATTTCGCCCATTAAAGGCATGATTATTGTAATGGGCCTCCTAAGCCCATGGCTAGGAGCCCAAATCCACATTTTTTCCTATAAATAGACCCCTTGGGGCTAGTTATAGGGGGTTGAGAAATATAATTACTCACTTTCTCTCTCTAGCTCTCACTTCTCTCTAGAATTAATACTCTATCAGTAGGTAATCCGACAAAACAACTCATGACAACCGCCGTCCCTCGAACCATACTCAGAGCTTATCGCCTCAGCAATATAACTCGCCGATCCATTAATGGGCACAAATGAGCCAAAGACGGTTACAACAATCATTCCATCCCCACATCCAAATCCAAAACCACAGTCTTACAATCAAAAGAGATAAAACAACAAACAAACACAGACAAATTCAGACCATTAAAATAAATAAAAGCAAAAAATAAATTTCTTCACTCAGCCTTCCAAAAACCACCGGCGGCAGTTCAGGAGTGGGTCGGATCCCCCTTTATTTCATCTTCTTCCTTCATCACCTTGATCTGCCCTTGAGTGGCCTCCATCTCTGGGCCAAAATACGATGCCTCTTCCTCATCCTCAAACTGCCCTTGTGACTCCCTCAATCATGGCGGTAGTTTAGGATGAACATGGACCTTACCTCCTAGCGAGAAACGGGCCCGCTGACTTCTTCGCCAGAGCCCTTGCTGCCGCAAATCAAACTGCTCGTACCTCCTCCCAACCCAATCGTATATTGCGGCTACCATGCTGGCCGCCACTATATTCTCCTCCAGCCAAATCTCCCTATCCACGAACGAATTGCCGGAAGACGGCACCGCTCCTCGCCAAAAGACGATAGCGGACACATAAAACTCTAGCGGTGAAACTCTAGAGACATTCTGACGACCGCAGATGAACATGCCAGAGCAAAGAAAATCAGCACCTGCTGCTTGCCTTGCTCTAAACCTCCGTCAGTATCCTACGATATAGCCCTCCGTGCATAAAGTCAAAAGATTAACAAAATAGACTCCCCACCAAGAGCCGAAGATCATGCGATCAAACATGAGCACCAGAAAAAGGTAAAGCATAGAGGCAAGGTGTGGGCTGCTAGTGCCTGCAACGACTTCGCCGTTCTCCTCTGCTCATTGCTACCGCCTCCCCCTCATTAGGGTTTCCTCTATATCTCATATATACATGTGTGTGTATGTATATACTCCCTCCGTTTCAAAATAAACCTCACAGTCAAATTTTTTGGGTCAAACTTGTTAAACTTTGACTGCTTATTACACAAAATTAATAATATTTTATCCCAAAAAAATTATATAATGTGCTTCATTGTAATATGTATTTTTCAAATGTCAATTTATTATAGATTTTATATGCATATATTAATAGAAAATTACGGTCAAACGTCCGCCTAGGAGACCGCAAAAGTCAAACTGTGAGGTTTATTTTGAAACGGAGGGAGTATATATTATTAAGAATTATCTTTTGTATTAATGGGGTACAACGATGATATATTTTATTGAAAATGTCCACCGTAAAAGATGGATAAAAGTCATGGTTTTCGAGTCTTTGATTCTCATGTAGTTTTTCCTCATCTCGATTGAGAGAAAATTTTGCCCCCCAGATGTATAGCGATGCTAAGGTTTCAAACTTTCAGGCGAACGAGCTCATCAAATAGTCTCTGACAGCATTTATGTCGCTTGTGCCTCAAAATAATTTCAACACTACTCCACTAGTGAATAAGGGGGTGTTTTGGTATTTAGGACTTAAGAATTGATTTAAACACTAAGATGAATGAATTATGTAATCAATTGATAACGACTTGAATTGGTTTTACTAATTTCCACTTATTGAATTATTTGTTGATCCCTACTATTATTTTAGCTATTTCTTCTTCAATACTCACTCATGGAGTATTTTTAATTCCTTTAGCATAGTTATTAATAACGAGAGACGCTCTTTAATAACCTCTACTATTTAGACAATATAGAACAAACGTCTTATATTAACTTAATAGTGACATTTTATCTTTAGATGAAATTAACCGAGATTGAAAATCTTAACACAAGGGATCTATCAGTTTAATCAATATAATTAATTTCCCTTTAGATTAGAAATCATGCATTAGTAATCCAAAGTTAACACTTATGAAAGGACCAATGATTAATCATACATCCTCATTAATAGTTTATAGTAATAATTAATATTAAAGCTTTAACTAATCATGTAACAACACGGCAACACCTCAACATTAATATAAAGATGGAGAAAAATTAATATTCAAGAAGAGAAGTTTAAAAAACTCACAATTTTTATTCAATAAGTTTCAACTTAGGAAAACTAAGATAGCGATGTTTAGCTCCTCATTGGAGTCTAAACACACAAGAAAATGTAATAACAATACTAATCTAAACTAAGCTTAATTATATGGGATAAATGGATATCAAACATGGGAAGGAAGGAGGAACTTTTATCGGGGTTGTGAGGTTGTTGGGTCAGATATCCGACCGGGTGTCCTTTGCTGTAGTTATTTCATTATTTACATTCAGATCATATTTACATTCATCGTGAAATTCGAATATAATTAGCAGATATTACATGTCCATTCGAGTGAAGAAAATTGAGCACCCCATAATGTCTTAGATATGTCCTTTTTAATTTGAATCAGCTCCTCATAGATGCACCATGGGAAGCTAATAAAATGTTCACGTCTCATTTCATCCTCTTCATAGCAACCCCAATAAGTGTGGTGATAAGTGACATGATACCAAGCCGAAGCTTTCGCCTTTAAATCATCAGAACATTCACTGCTCCTCCCTTTCTCAAACCATGACCTCGCCTCCTTTCTCAATGACCTATAGGCTAAGATCACAGCCTCAGAATCTCTTCGGCGATCAAACAACCTCGTGGTCGGATTGGTGATCCGACCACTTACTATTTCAGCTTCAGTTTTTATGTCATAGTAATCCATCAAACTACCAAGCTTGTAGTCATACAATTTCTTGTGCTCAAGAGCTTCGCAAATGTGATCCTCAAATCCATCCACTTCCATGTCCATATCGTACAATTTCTTAGCTCTTTCTTTTGTGAAAGGAGCGGCAGAACTCCGGGGGATGGATTGGACTTGCCGAAAAAGCTTGCCGATGATTCGGGTTGATTTGTAGGAGGGTTTGTCAAGCTTCTGCATGAAGTCGGGGTACTTCTTGATGCGTAAGTTTGGTGGCATCTCAGCGGGGACTCCGGTCTTTGGGAAGTCAACTGCAATGGAGAAGAGGTGGGCAAGTTGCATGCACGGCTCACTCATTGCCATGGTTGGTTCTCTATCAGCAACCACAACATGGGCATTTGAGATCATACCTAAAGTATCATTCATAATGTACTCTACAAAGTACTTCCGAATATCCTGTTATTATAAGACAATAAAGACGATCATTTTTTATTTCTAAAAACAATATGAAAAATATGCGCACACATATGAAAGATTTGTCTGCGCTTGAGAATATGATGGAATAAATCAAAACGGCTCACTAAACTGTCTGCACTTCTTTCTTATGAAGCAGCAGCCAGTCCATGCAATTTTCGACGCGATTTTCACTATGGGTAAGACTGCGTACATCCGACCCCCCTTTACCCCACCGTAGGTGGGAGCCTTTGCGGCACTGGGGTAAATGAAAATGATGATGATGAAATGACATATGAAAGATTTAACACAGTTAGTGAGACCCCTCCGATGTTAATCGTGCAACAACACAGACCTCTACAAGTTCGATTGAAAAACAAACCATAGATCTCTAGGTCAAAATGCGCTCAATCACATCCTCAATTTATGAACTAATTAATTATTTCTATAATTAATTAGTTCATTGAATCCATTTGTCGCCTACTACATATAATTTTTCTTCAAACCCTACCCAGCCAACATTGTGAGTTAAAGATCATCAAATAGGCTATATGCTAATTTGATGTTGTATGTTTACACTTCATTCTTTGTTTCCATAAGTTTACTTAACTCAATACTAAACCTTTTCAAAAGTATACACAAGAAGAACTAGAATCCAACTAAAGATGTGTATGTTGAATGTGTTTTTTGTTTAAATGGAAGAATATGTACCAATTTTTATTTTTCAGGGATAATAAACTAGACTAATAATTAATATTGGTGGACAATGATATACTTGGGATTATACAAAATTAATCAATAGTTTGAATTAATAAAATCGAATGTATAATATTAGGATTTTGTAAATTAATTTTTTGCTGATCTATCACAATTAGCCAAAGAAAACTTTTATTTATACATACATCATCTAATTAACATAACAACAATAATGATGATTATTACGATAATAAAATCAATGGTACCTCAATGGTAACATCACATTGGAGTTGAGTGGCAGAAGGAGTATAATCCATTGGTGGTACCATGGATCTTGGAATAAGGTCATTGTCCCAACAAACATAATAAAAATCTCCATCCAGATCACTTCCAGAACATTCATTTGGATGAGGTCTATCACCAAGTTCAATATATGAAGAATATATAAATGCTTTAATAATGATAAAGATCACTATAAACATCAAGTCAGAATGAATATATTTTTAAATATATCAATCCCTAAGTGTATAGTTAAACATACTTTAAGTTCAGATGTTACATTTTATAAAAAGAAAAGAAAAAGTTTTAGTTTAAATTGGGGTCATATATTATAAAATGACTTAATTCCACTTTTGGTCCTATGAGTTTTTTGTTTGTCAATTTCATTTTTAGTCCCCATCTTTCACTTTGTCCACTTTTAGTACTTGACTAATGTTTTTTAACCATTTGTGGTCCTTTTCCAGAGATTATAACCATCAGAAACAATGCCGGAAGGACCATATATGGGCAAAAATACAATAGTCATGTATCAAAAGTGGACAAAATGATAGGTGTGGACTAAATGTGGAATTGACCCAAAACTCGTAGGACCAAAAGTGGAATTTATTCTTATAAAATTGCTAAACTATTGCAATGTGCAATAGCTCCAAACCATAATGTCATATCTGTAAATAAAATGGTATAATATGCTTGGAGTTATACACAATGAGATTTATAGTGTAAGTCTCCACCGTTGATAAGTAAGATTATGTACTTCATACCACTACATGTCGAACTTGAATACTTGATATTTTGTACTCCTTTCCCTTAAAAATTAGCCATCTTTAAATTTTTTTGTCAATCAACGTAAACTTTGCCAATGATATGATATTTTTTTATAGGAAATGATTTGTAATATAAAAATTATACAAAAACGTTCTTTGTAGAAAATACTTTCATAAAAGTATAACATTGATCACTTTCATAGTTATACTAATCAAAATCATTGGCTAAAGTTTATCGCCGTTGACAAAGTTTTAAAGGACGGGGTAATATAACTTTAATTTCTTCACTATATGTCTCAATCTCTTTGCCACGCATGCGAGAGAAAACGCACACAAACACACAGGTTAGTACCTATCTCCTTGTTGGGGGAAGACTATGCAGTCCACCATATGGTGCAAAACAGGAACATCAATCGCTTGTAGTATACGAACATCACCGGGATGCAAGCACGGATTCTTTGCAACAACGACTTTTCCCACTAAAATGTTGCCATATTCATTGAGTTGTGAATAATGTCCACGATCAACAACAGAAAACTTAATAAATACTTGACCATATTCAAGAGTCCTAGTTTCGTCCATGCATCCCATCATTGATCTACCATTAGGTATCAATATTCTTGTTCTTGTCCTCAAATCCTCAACCATTGATGCTTTTATTGTTTGCAACATCATAGAAAGAAATGGCTCTATGTGAGGTTTATAGCCACAATTAAGCATCGCTATTAGAAGTTTGGTGTTTTCTCCTGATGGCATCAATTTTAGAATTTTTTGTGCCATGTTTGGATCAATGAGCATCTTGTCCATCAGACCAACTACTTTCCTCTGCTTCTTCTCAAACACGTGGTCGTGAATACCGAGACTAGATAAAAGAGTGATAATTTGGCGATTTAGATAGCAGGGCTGATATCTGCTCCAAGCTAGAATATCCAGCTTGATGTTCTCCGATTCAAACTTCAACATACTTTTTCTTAAGGATAATTTCTTTGAGGACGAAGGGTCAACAGACACAACTCCCTTAAATCCGCCGTACCGGATTTGGAAAGCGGAGGGATGTTTCATAAGGCCGCATTTTATAGCAACCTATTAGAAATTGGGTAATTCATGGGGAAGAGTGTTAGGAGGGGATAAGTGTATCTTATATTTAAGGTTTAATTCATATGCTATGTGTCAAATTAGATCCATACACAACCTTTTGAGCAAAATCAGCTGAGATTTTCCCTATCCCATCAGAGAATGTATAATTTTTTCCTTCCTTGTGTATCTCTATGTCTGGAATCATTTGAATCTCATCTTTACCAACAACAAAAGTTTCTCTAGATGAACCAAAAGATTGACCAAGCCTCGCTGCATATTTGGCCACATTCTTAATCTTTTTAAAATCTCCCATCCAAGATCTTATATCGGTAGCAGAAAGTCCGGGTCTAGATGCAAACATCCAGAGAGAACTTTCTCTCAGCTGGCTTGATGAGAATGCAAGAAACTCAAATGCTTTGTCCCCAATAACAATGCCATTTTCGAGTATTTTCATTATCCTGTTGAATATATCTGTCCTCACCACCACACCATTATTAGTAGGTGGAGAAGGAGATAAATCTACCGAATGCATTCTCTCCCAATCCTCATCCATGAAAGAAACACGAACAAAATTGTCAATATCCTCACAATAATGGCGCAATACGCGATTAGATAAAATTGCATCAGGCCCGCAGAAGTATACCCTCATTGGTGTAACAATAACTCTTCGTACATACATAAGGCCTTCATCCAGCTTGATCACATTGGATTTGATCATATGTTTAAACTTGCAGCGATATTGCTCAGTCAGCCACTTCACGGGATCATAGCAACACTCCTTTAATCGGTACATTTTTTCCAATGCATATTCTATTAAATTGATATCCACTTTTCCTGGATCGACTAAGGCAAAAAACTCATCATTTAGTGATGGACCTGGAAGGCATCCATGTTGAACCAAAGAGCAAATCTTGAAATGTAACTTGAATGGTAGCTCGATTCCCAATGGAGGATGAAAAATTGGAACAATAACTGAATTAGAAGAGAATGAGGAACCATAATCCATAGTGAAATGAGTTAAAATTTGGTTATCATACGCAAAATCATCACACAAATTTGGTAACTCGACATCCAAATGAAGATTCAAACACAAGGCAGAAGAATGGCCAATGATACAATTTTGTGTGAAATCTGTTGTTCTCACCCAATGATCATCAGGATTTTCTTTAAAAAAGGTATAAATGGATTCTTCAGTTTTCTTATAGATCCGTGGAGCAGAAAACATCTGTAACAAAGAGGTCAAGGAAGTTAAGCATCAAGTATAGATACATTTTGTTTATGTAGTGTTGTTTTAACTATTCAGTTTTCTTAGGGCCCGTTTACTTATTTTTCTAGTTTTCTGTTTTCATTTTCTAGTTTTTCATTTTCCAAATCTGAAGACATGTTTTCTAAAACCATAACGTAAGTACATATATACTTGACAAATTGAAATCTGATAGAATCGAAGACATAAAAAATACTTGAGAAATTGAAATCCGATAGAATCGAAGACATAAAGAATAACAAATACTCCCTCCGTCCCATTTATGAGCCCGTTTGGAGAACTCTGTTTTCGGCTTATCAGGCTTATCAGCCAGCCTTTTCACCAAACACGTAACTTTTACTTTCGCGCGCTGAATTGTGTAATAAGCCGAAAAAGTAAGGTTGGAGTTACTTTTCTGGCTGTATTGGCTGAAGTTACTGTAGAGGACCATTTTAGCTATTTTTACATATAATTTTTTCTTTAATTTATTAATAAAATATATTTTTAAAATATTTTTTTCTTAAATCAGCAGAATCAGCCAAAACAACCACTCCAGCCAGAATATCATAAATTTCAGCAGAATCAGCCAAAACAGCCGATTTTGGTTCTACCAAACGGGCTCTATATTGTCCCGTTTTACCTTTTCGGGAAGTCCCACTTAAATTGTCCTATACCATATTTGGCAAAGTTTGTGTGGCTCTAAATCATTCTTACTTTATTCTTACTTTATCAATTAATATCAACCACACAAACTCACTTTTCTTAATAATCGTGCCACCCTCTTTCGTCCCAATATAAATGGGACGGAGGTAGTATTACCTTTCACCGTTGGCGTTAAAAAATTAATGTGTGTATAATGCAAAATAAAGTTCCCATAGTTAGAAACATTTGAAATAAGACAAAACGTTTTCATAAATGATAATCCACAAACAAAACTTAATACGTGACATTTTTTAACAAGAAGCTACATTGTGTTGAAAAACAAATACACAGCACTAGTAATACTTTGACGTTAAAATTATGGATCAAAGTTAGCATTAGAAACTTATTTTTAATGCCACGTGTTTTTCATAACATGTTTGAGTACATAACACTAGTAATACTTTTTTAAGCCACATGTTTTTTCATGATCTATGGATCAGAGTTAGTATTAGAAACTTATTTAAATTCTGGGGAAAACTATGATACCTAAAAGTAAGTTATAAAATACTAAAAACGTGAAATTGATTTTCATAATTTAATAAAAAAAATACAATTAAACATACACCGTTGCATAGATCTCAAAAAAATATGTAGTTAAACAAATTTGTCCTAATCAGATATCCGAGCGCGAAACAAATACAAGACGCAGTGTAGCGCTGTGTAGTGCGTATTTTCATTTTGGAAAACACTTAAGGTGAGTTCTCCAATTTAAGAAGAAAACCATAAGCATGTCCCTGTTTTTCAATTTTGGAAAATAAACAGGTAAACGTTTTTTTCAGTTTTTCTTTCTCCAGTTTTCCAGTTTTCTGAAAAAACAAAAAATATTCATGTTAGTAAATGGGCCCTTAAGATTTATCTTTGAAAATATAGATATCATTGAATATCAAGTGGACTATAACCCTCCAATTTTTCCATGACACTCGAATGAGAATGGACTTGTAACCTTATGGAGTGATGGGTATATCGGTAATTCCATGGAGTAATTCATGTTTGAACACATGTAGTAAAATATACTGTGTTTACACAATCATTTTGTATCATCAAATACTCTATTTTAGATGTCTTATGTTTGGAAATTGTTGATCAAAGTGGAAAGTAAAATAACCATAACAAACATATAAAGAGATATCATGAACATAGTTGAAGTATTCAACAAACGATGAAGGGGTGGAGAGGAAACCAGAGGCCAAGCTCTAAAGGCATGATGTGACCCTGAAGTATGTTGGGGAATGACATATAACATTTTGTTTTAAAAAAGGAGCCGAAGAACATCCACAATCAGAGTTATCAGACTAACCAGCGGTGGAGCATACTGTTAGTGAAGATCAGAAGTGTGAAGTATTGGAGATGAGCTATGTCAGATCAAGATGTGTATTCCTGATTTGCTCCTGTTTTATCCTTCTTCAGCTTACTAGAAGACATACTAGAGAATAGACGAGAAGAGTTGATACGATGAGGAATCACAGAAGATGAGGCCTCACAACGAGTGTCACACTTAACATGGTCAAAGTAATAGCAGAGGGGATGTTATCTTTGAACATATTAACAACATTCACAGATGACGAAGAAGGCATTGGAGGAATATTGAGTTTATAGAAGTAAGAACTATGATATAAAGGTTAGAAGACTTAAAGATATGAATAAAAGAACGAGCATGAAGCAACAAATGAAATGAAGAAGAAACAGATTTGATTCTTTTCATTTCATCCGGCTTTAATCTACATGGGGCATAATGGCATAAATATAACAATGACTCAGAGTCTTAGACATTTATAATTTCAAGTATTATGTTCTTCGAAGCTTAGTGGGGACACTTAGAATATTTAGTATATTTAGTATATTTTCTAAATATATAAATCCTAATTACTATATGACCAATATATGCCTTGTTAGGGCAAATTTGATTTTTTTTCAGGATAATACGGAGTATTAATCAAGGATGTTTCTGTTGGGATTGGAAAATTCTTCTATTCAATATCAAGAACAGAATTACAATAGGAGGAGCAAACTCTCACACTCAACTATTACAAAAAACCAATCCTCACCAATACACTTCTACTCTAAGTGTATTTTCACTCTTCACACACTTTTCTCACTTTCTAAACTGATACAAATGAACAACAATACACTCTCTATTTATAGGTGTATATGGGAGACATGAGGAAGTTGCATCCAAGCTTCCATTCTCATTGCTAGGGAGTTTCCTAGCTATCTCCTAGAAATCTTCTCCATGTTCATATGTTTGATACCTCCTTCCTAGAAGGTGTTATATGTCTCTTGGCAACTTCCAAGAAAGAAGGTGGAAGATACCTACCGTTTCAACTTGGACAAGTTTCAGTTTAAACCAAATAAGACTAGAACAAAGTCAACAAACTCAATCAGACAAGAGCGATTATACTAAATCTAAGCTAATCAAGTCAGAAATTTTCGATCCAAGTGAGAACACAATTAATCAAAAAGTGAAGTTGTTTTGAGATAGATTGACAAGCATAACATAGGCATGCAAAGTAATTAGTTAAGAAAACCTGAATGACTAGAAACTTTGCATTCTGATCAACTTGTGGATAATATTGCGTGATTCTCGAAATGCCTTGACGAGAAAGCTGAAGCTTGTACTGTGTGGAGCCGTGAAAGAGTAGCAAGAACACATACTTGAATCCAACTCCGAATTTCACAGAGACATTCCGCTTTCTCCAGAGCACGTGGAACCCATCCCTACGGGTTTGACACCCAAAGCAGACAGCAACTTTCTCCATTTCATGGGCATAAGATTTAGGTTCCATAATGTGGGTGCCTACCAGCTCCTTAGCAGTCAAGAAGGATGTACGATAATACAACTTGTGCTGTTTGGCCAAATTTATGATTTCTTCTGAGCTTTCATTGGAGCTGAATTGCACAATGGCGTAGGCTCTTGAAGCTCCTTTGAACATCTTCACCTCGAGGGCATAAACGCAGCCCCTTTTGGTGGTGTGTTTTTCAATCCATGTTTTGGCCGCCTCCGCTGATATCAGATGTGGGAACCCAAACACCTGAATTGTTCTTCCCGCCATACAGATCAATTACCTCTTCACTATTCTGATTAATTCTGGTCCTAGTGGACACCCCACTCTTTGAATTAGTTGAAATTTGTGCAAAGAAAAAGAGAAAACAAGTATAACCACAAATTATTACTTTAATAGAAAAATGACAAATTTTTTAAGAAATGTTGGCAAAATCACTGAGGGAGTATATAGTTTGATTATGATAGTATTATAACGTTATTGTTGTTTTACTGTGCATTGGGTTTTCGGACTTACCTGTCCTTTAATGTTCAACTGTTATCGAGCTTGCAAGAATAAAATGAATATATTTGGAGATATCATAAACCAACATCTAGTGCTTGAAATCAACAAATATGTAAAACAATAACAAAAAAGTGAGGGGTTCCAGAGGATGTCATAGATAGATAATGAGATAATATATTGTATGTATGGAGATGAGAGAAGAGAAAGATAAAAGATCCAAGATAGCAAAGAGCAAGTTAAGTAATAGATGCTCTAATTCTTTCCTTAGCGTCTTAACTCATCTATGTTTTCTACTTTTTTTCTTGTGTTTTTTACTTTTTAGTACTCCGTATTCCGTAGTATAATTATGATAAACGTTTTTTGTACACACTTTTGGACAGACAAAACATGTTTTGTCTGACATACAAACAAAAAGTTTTCACAGGCATGTGTAAAAGCATGTAAACAGTAAAATGTGTACAATTGTTGTATAATTATTATGGAGTATAAATTACTTAAATTACTGATAGGGGCTGACAATATTGCTTTTATGCGTGTTTTATTTTGTTTGGTTATAAGCATTATCCTCCTACTCCCTATGGTTCGATTGGTCTCCATACTCCCTATTTGTTTAGTAGCTATGCTCATTTGAGATGCTTATTACTACCTCCGTCCTGAATTGATTTGCAAATTTGACTTTTCTTAGTCAAACAGTTTCATTTTATTTTCTTAATTAGGATGTCAATTTTTAATTATATTCTAATTTGAAGTTTGTAACTTTACAGAGATTTTATTGTAGTTTTTGAATATGTAAATTTTAATTATTAAAAGTTGAGTTAATTATCGATAGGGAGGATTGACTTTTACTATTGATTGACCAAAAAATGTTGACTTTGCAAAACAATTTGGGACGGGGGTACTATATGGTTAACCCGCCCCTGGTACCTGACATAGGTCGTGTTTGTATTTCGGCGGTTGAGCCTAAAAGCTTCTTTAGCGGCGTTTTCTATTGTAAGAAATGGTGTTTAGGGAGTAAAACGCGGGTAGCCAAAATTGCCATAGTGATGTGAGATTTCAATTTGTGCAAGAAATAATCACAGAAGATGGAGTCCTAATCCAAAACATCAAAGATAAAAGATGACTTTAAGATGCATTGACTAAGGTGGCGACCTTGCGACTTTATCACCATCCGTAAAATTTAGTGACCCCTTGGGTTGCATTGATATAAATCTATAAGGCACTCTTCTCTACATCGATGATCAATATCCACCAAGATACATATTTCTAATTAGATGTTATTTTCTTCCACACAATAAAAAAAGAACCACAATGGGGCTTATATTACATTAGCAAAAGCTACCTTGGACTTTAGTCAAAGGAAACAGTTCGAATTAGGAAAGTCTTTGCTCATTTGTGTAGGCTTGGGGTGTGATGAAACTTGAAAGTTCTACTACTTTGACCATTTAAATATCACACTCAGCGTATATGGGTTGAGAGTTTCTCCCATTTCTGAGATAATTCCCAAGTTGTAAATGATCGGCCATAGGCCCATAGCTAGAGAGGATAATTGTAAACTTTGGCATTGGGGGGTGTGGCAATTGGCGGTTAGTTGTTGACCAATTGTGTTAGCTAATTGATAAGAGCAGTTTTAGTCCACGGTTTTGATTGGCTAATAGTATTAGCGGTAAAATAGTGTTTGGTTAAACGGTTGTTTACAATAGCTGTTAATTTATTAAATGACTTATAAGGACATCATGTTTACTAACGTAACTAATTTTGTATACATACATTTTGTAATTACCGAGTAGCGAGTTAACTACCTAGCATGTATTTATGATCAAACTGTAACAACAGAAAATTCTTGTGCGTGTCATCCTTGCGCAGGGGCCATGCTAATCTTCTTTGTATCGTTCCAATTTTATCGGATGTCCCCCCAAGAGACAACAAAAGAAAGTTCTTAGTTCTCCTTTTAGGTGATGGTTCTCATTTGTATCAACTCTACACACACACATGATTACATATATACTCCTCGGTCATCTGAAGACCTACTTTACTGGTGGTACTTTACATTCAGTTCTGTTACTACATACTTCTTCCTGCATGCATGAAAATACCTCCTTAGTCTCCTCATGCATTAACACGAGCAATATATGTGTCAAAATTTTCTATATTAATTACACAAAGAGTTAGCTGGACAAGCGACTGTAAGCTTATTATGGTTACTTTCAAATCCTTAAAGAGCTACTGTTGCAGGATTGCAGGAAGGATAGTTTCTAACCTTGTTCTTCTTCCGCAATTCCAATACTTCTTCTATAGGTGGTCGACCTGAATCACAAAATAAATGGTGGGGTTTCTGGGTTAGTGCCAAAGCTCAACCTCCTTTTCCGTGGATGAGTAGATAGAATCTAGGGAAATCCACATGTGAAATCCAAAGGGTATCATTTCAAATATAAGGACTAGAGCTGCACATCTGGCAGGTTGCCTACTAGGCTATACTTTTTGGGCCTATCCGCTTGACTCGGATTAGTTGCTAAAAAGCCAGCATGTATGAAACTTAAATGGCTAACCCTATATGAATGGATCAGGAGAGTCGGTGTTTGAAAAATAAATTACTTTGGGTTGAGTTTTTAATACAGCCAACTAATGCAGTCAAGTTTAGACTCAACCATTATATTACTCAAGTTCATAAATGCATACCAAATACACAAAAAGAAACTTTTTATAAGTCTAATCTTTGTCTAACAACATCAAACAATTCTTCTTAAAGGAAGTTCCTTCAGAAGATAACGTAATAAATCAACTAGAAAAATGACAAAATATTTATAATTCTAATTCATTAAATAGAGTATAGCAATGTTAAACAATAGATAATCTAACAAAATATTGTAGCAAAGTAATAGAGAAATAAAGAAGGAAAACATTTCCAACTTTCAAGGTAAAAGTTGGAGTGTTGGACAGATCAGGTAACTTCGGTTTTGAGACTCCTACGTCCACAACCTTTCCCATTATGTGCAGGTTCATAGAAATGTAACCTGTGATTAGTTTGGGAGGCCAAAGAACTGACTATAAATGGACGGATAGGGTTGGGCCAGGTTGTGCGGGTTGGGGTTATTTTTGTGCAGCTCTATGAAAGGCTGTTATATGAAACAACGTATTTAGTTTAGTGTGGCGCCTTTATTAGTAAGTAAACCACATTACATTGGCTGGCAGCATGGTTCAAACTTCAAATATGAGAAAACATTCTATACCGTTGGTAAATTTTGTTTTAGTTCTGTTTAGGTAGGAACTAGGAACTCATGTGTGGATCACATGTCGATTCAGGTTAGCCGATCCATAACTCTTTTGGGATTAAGGCTTGGTTGTTGTTGTTATTGTTGATTTGTTTAGGTAGGAACTAGGAACCCATGTGATAAAAGTTAATTACTACCTGTAACTCGGAGCCGATATTTAGCCCAAACACCATAAACAGCATTTGCTATTGTTCCAATCTGCAAATAAAATACGTTTCGTTAGTACTGCTATAGAGATAACAAGACAACAATATTAAGACTCAAGGCCTTAGATGTGAGTTTGTAGGATGACTTAGAAAAAAACTGTAACTAAAGCAGTAAGCGAAAGAAGAGGTTAGGCTGATAAGACCCTGGTTGCGGCTGAGGGGCCTCTTCCCAGCCAGAGGCATCTGAAACTGGAGAATTAACCCTCGCTTAAAGAGACGACTAATCTATATGCGGCACGTTGGTCTAAAAGGGAAAGATTGCATGCAAACCACAACAATTGTTACATGTGCATTCATTCATTAAGATAGAAACTCACAGGTTCATATTTAGTTATTGCGTACACCCATCCCAGCCCAACTGCCTCATATAACTTTCTGAATGCCTGCATAATTTCAGTTCAAACCTTCTCAGTGTGTGCAACAGCAGCTAGATATATAGCTTAATTGAATAAACTTAAGATCTTGTTTGGATCGAGAATTTGGAGGGGGGAGGGAGGGGTGATATTTATTTTTTCTAAATAAGTGAAAATATATTGAAGATAAAAAGCTATACATGAATACAAGATCCAAGTAATTAAATAGTTAGCTCTGATCTAAATTTAACAGAGAGAATTAGTAATATAAAAAACAATGCTCCCCGACCTTCCCTTCGAAATCCCTGAACCAAACCAGCCCTAGAGGTTCAACTTTGAAACAGTTCCACATACAAAAAAAAAAACTGATAACTTAGGAATATGGGCTTACTTCGACACTAGTAACTACAGTTCCATCAGAGAGGATCACGTGGATGTTTCCCATAACCTAAACAAACAAGTATTCGTCATATTATTAAATACAATGTGTATTTTGTCAATAATGTAGTTCGTGATCATCAGTCTATTAGACTCTTATACCAGTATCTTCTTACATTATGCGATTAGCTAATTCACTGAATATGCAGGAAATCGGGATTGATTTTGAAAATGCAAATATACTTACAGTTTTGTAGTCTAGCCCCATATTATCCTCTGGAGAGTAATTCTCAGAGCTTATGTCAACAAACTTGATAGTACCATACCTCTTGTTTCTTTCTTTCAACATATTCACCTGTTACGAAAGTAAATATATCTATATATATATCCATAAGGACCATAATGAACGAACATTTGAAATTTCATCAAACACATACAGTACGACCAAAAAAGAGCAGACCTCTCTCATACATAGTGGACAGTCTCCATCGTACAACATCTTAACCTTCCAATTCTCAGGTCCTGATGATTCTCTTTCATCTCCTTTCCTAGGACTCACAGGATTCCCTGCCGCTTCCCTTATACCTCTCACTCCAAATTTAAACCCTACAATTTAACCATGTCCATCTATTGTTAATAATAAATTAAAAACTCCGCCATGAATTGATTCAACTTCTAAATCCCTTCCCACTTTTAGATCTCTTGAAATCAAATTAACAATCGGTGTGTACGATATATATAGAGAGAGATGAACAAATTTGCTAACGCTTACCTAGAGGTTGACGATTCGAAAATGAAGTGAAGCTCAGAGAAGAAGCAGGGCGAGGAAGAGAATGATGGAGTTGCAGACATCGAGAAGGAATGAATCTCAGAGATGAGCATCTTTGCCTTCCTCCAATAACACGAAACACAGCTTTCAAAGCCATTGCTTCCTCTTTCTTTCTTTAATAATTAACCCGAAATCCCCAGTTTTGTTGGGGACGGTTATTTTATGACTATATGCTTCTTACAATAACGACCATGCCTACGTGGCGGCACCAGATTCAAGCCTTTCAAAACGCTTCATTTTTGCAGAAGTGGGACTAGTAAGAAGGTGAATTTTCAGGGTGGTGGTGCCGTACTCTATACAGCCCTTAGACAAGACTCACCAACCGAAGCTGGCGGAGCAACAATGGGCAAAACATTTACTATACAACCTGTTGTATAGATTATCCAAAACATAGTATTTTACTTTAAAAGAAATGAATGCAATCTATCTATTTTTCTATTCTAATATAAAAGCAAAAGATTTTTTATGAATAAGGTTCCCTCCAAGAAATGTCAACATCATGATTTAGTTCATTTGTTCATGAAAAATAATTGCAAAACCAATTTTTCTGCCCGGTTTATCCAATTTCCTTATTTTGGTTATATATTAAATTGCCTAAAAAATATCTATTACCGTACAATGAGAATAGAAAATGTTGTATTTCATTTGTAGGAATAGGTGAGGAAATATAGGTCCAAGTGTCATTATTTGAAGGTTTGCCAGTTTTTATCAAAGGATGTGTAAAATTACACTGAAAGTGAAAAAATTTCTATATGTTTGGAAATTATTTAAAATTGGCAAATCAATAAAAAAATTAGGGTTTTGTGAAATTTTCGATCAGAATTATCAAAACAGATTTCACACAGATTTGAATCTAAGATATTTTATAAAAACAGTGAAAGAGGAATGGGCTTAGCGTGTAATTCTTGCCATTGTCAGTTAACTGTGCGGTAGAAAATATGTCACATTATCATTGTGAAGATAAATAATCACATTGTTGGGTGAGAAACACACGATTGGTTACTTTTTCTATGAAAACATTGTTTTAGTGTATGATTTCTAGGGTGAGTGGAAGTAATCATTAGTTTTTACTGTTTTTTGCCCAAAAAAATGGTTTTTGTGATTCATTACAGATTTCGTATAATCTTCTAAGGCTTAGAAATCTGATAGGGTTGGCCTTACTAATAGAATATATATATATATATATATATATATATATATATATATATATATATATATATATATATATATATATATAGGGAGCGATTCTTGTAAGAACGGATCTTAGGAGAAAAATGAGAACGAATCTGGACCGTTGGATTGAATTATGTGGAACTGAATTGTGCATTTGGTGACACCGAAATTTGCATTAGATGATATTGAAATGGGTAGAATAAAAATTTAAACTCACATGTGCATTAGGTGAAACTAAAATGTGCAGAATAAAAGGTACAAAAATAACATTACATCGTACATTTTATTCTGCACATTTTTGTTTCATCTAGTGCACACTTCAAATTTATCTAATGCACAATTTAGCTTCACATAATGCCACTACATTGTACGATTTGTGTTGCACGTTTCAATTTCACCCAATACACATTACAGCTTTATCTAATGCACATTGAATTTCACATAAAGCAAATCTAACGATCCAGATTCGTTCTCATTTTTCTCATAAGATCATGTTCTTATTTGAACCAAAACCTATATATATATATATATATATATATATATATATATACACACACATAGGATTATATACAAACTCATCCTAATTTACAAAATGCAAATTAATCAGGGTCATCCATATTAATGAGAGTACGGTGTGGATTTGAGATAGAGATGGGAAAGTTTCCCACTAATTGCATGAGATACGGTTGATTTGAGAGAAAGTACGAAACTCCAACTAATGGTTGATGCAAGAGTATTTAATGGCTCAAACAACTCTTACCCTTGATTTTGTAATTTTGGACGGATGAGATGAATTTGTATTTTGTACCGGAAGCACACTTTGTATCCGATCTTAACCCTATATGTGTGTGTGTGTGTGTGTGTGTGTGTGCGCGCGTGTGTGTGTGTTTTGGTTCAAATAAGAACACGATCTTATGAGAGAGATGAGAACGAATCTGGACCGTTAGATTTGCTTCAAGTGAAATTCAGTGTGCATTAGATGAAACTGTAATGTGCATTAGGTGAAATTGAAATGTGCATCACAAAGGATACGATAGAGTGGCATTATGTGCAGTTGAATTGTGCATTACGTGAAATTGAAATGTGTACTAGGTGAAACTGAAATGTGCAGAATAAAAAGTATGATGTGATGTTATTTTTGTACTTTTTTTCGCACATATCAGTTTCATCTAATGCACACTTGAGTTTAAATTTTTATTTTGCACATTTCAATATCATTTAATGCACATTTCAGTTTCACCAAATGCACAATTTGATTCCACATAATAGAATCCAACGGTCCAAATTCGTTCTCATTTTTCTCCTAAGATATGTTTTTATCGAAACCGCTCCCTCTATATATATATATACATATATATACGTATATATATATGTATATGTGTATATATATATATATATATATATATATATATATATATATATATATATATATATCCCAGTCTTACTGAAAATTCAACCAAAAGCTTAACTCCACCTCTTTCTTAAGCTTTCATTTGCTCTAACCCTCCATCAACATTGTGCAAACTAAAGCTGAGTTATTTTAGGTGAGTGACAATAGTCAATGTTACTCCATTGCTACCCTCTGTAACACCCCGGCCCCGCAGGCCCCGAGGTAGTTACTCCAGACCTCTAGTACTGTCCTCACAAACCGCCACTAGCCTTTTCCGCGCACTTTGTCCTCACTCGTGCGCGCCCTGAGAAACTTCCCAGGGGGTCACCCATCCCAAGACTACTCTCGTGCAAGCACGCTTAACTTTGGAGTTCTTGGGTGATGAGCTCCCTTAAAAGGAGATGCATCTTGTTGGTATAAGTAGTACTATTAATCCGTTTATATTAAATCTCAAGTGTTACACCCTCCTTCTAAATAATGAAGTTAAAGTTTCATCTATTCTAACCCTATTTCAATCTTTCATTATCAGTATGAAATTCAAGTTAGGTTTTTCATTTTAAAGACAAATTTCCCAGTACTTTTTGGTTGTGGGTTGAACATTTTTGGATTGATTTTAGAATTTGTCTTGGAGGTCTGCTGTGACACCGCACCCATATGTACTTGAATTCGAAAGTTGATATGTATTTGAATTTCCTAGCGAATAAAATCGTGTAACAGAATGGGTATATTTAATTAATGTGCGATTAATTAAATTATTTATCGGGTCTATATTATTGAGAATGGGCTACCAAATATTTATTTGGGTCAACGTAATAATTATAGAAGCCCAATAAAACGCCAACCAAAGTTGATAAAAATATTTGGACAACCCGAGTGCTATTTTGGCCCAACCTACCGAAAATAGCAGGAATAATTGGGGGAAACTTCCTACACCCATTTGGGAATTTCCTACACACTTTGGAGAGTCTAAATAAGTCAAATTTAGACAACACATGAGGGTTGATGCGGATGGATGATGGAGGAAGTCTCCTAGAGACAAAGCCTACACACATGACCCCATACTCAAATTATTTTGAGTATTGATTGGGAAGAGATGCTTCACCCTTTCCCATTGCAATCATTCGGCCATCAAGGAGAAGAACCCAAGGAGAACCAAACCTCACAAAGCTCTTGGCTAGGGAGAAGCAAGGAGATAGCAAACTCTAGGAAAAACTAGCAAGAACACAAGGTAAGAACTTATCTAGTTCTTTAACTAGTTTTATAGTGTATGATTTTTAAGAAATCATACGATGGATTAAACATGAGTTTTTACACGTTTAAAAGTGTAGAATATTGTTATAAAGTGGTGGTATTTAACTTAGAAGAGTCGTGGAATCGATAGGAGTTGAAACCACCGGAAACCGCCAAGAAGGAGAAGCTGCCTGCGCAGCAGACTGACGAACATCGCCCGGCTTTTGCCAAAGCCGGCCGGCTTTTGTCCAGGCAGACCAGATTTAGCTTTTGATCGGTTTAGAACGGGGATTGATCAAAGGGCTTATCAAAGGCAACTAATCCAGCACTTCATAAGGTGAGGATGGCTGACTATGTTGGTTATAATCTTTGAGTTAATTTCGTAAGATTACCTAAAGTAATTAAATGTTATTTTCATGGATTATTAATGATTAATAATGCCTAAATGAAAATATTGTTGTCAATGAATAAAGGAGCATAATATACAAATTTAAGGATAAATTGTGTATGATTATGTAATATGAGCATTTTGGCTTGATGAAGGGATTAACTATGAATATTATGTTGAAATATAATTTTAACTTCATATAAGGATATATGAGTGATTAAAGATTATATTTTGTATATTGATATGAACTATATTTTCAATGGAAAATTAGTTTGAGAATTGTCTATATGACTATGAACTGAAATGAGATTTTGTTGGAATTTATCCGACTAGTATAATGATACTAGTCGGGGTTTTGGAATGAAATATGTTAGAATTGATCCAAGGTTTGGATTGTAAATTGTTGAGCCTTAAGTAGTCTTAAGAGATACTAAGGTGGATAAGTGATGCTAGGAGTAGTCCTTAAGGGATACCCAAGATAAAGTGAATAATAAATTGATCCTAGGAATAGGATTGGCCTACGGGTGGATTCGGTAGTCTTGAAGGATTAGCCGATAGAGTATTGGTACTTAGTAAGGACCATGGCCCTTCCCGACTCTAGAGAGCGGGGTTGGATAGCATGGACTTACATCGTGATCACGGGTTAGGGTGGAATCCGAACCGGAGACCTTACGAGGCTCCCGACAGCGGTAACACATAAGATAGGACCCCGAATGGACCTTACCTTCCTACGGGACGATGGGTATGAGTTCAGGGGCGGGATGTTGGACTCCGGCCCGGGGACCCGGTGAGGCCTCGGAGAGCGGTGACAAGTCTCGTAAAGGATGATAAGACCTACGGGCGGTGTCGTGCTAACGACGGGTATAATGAAATATATGAAATGGGCCGTGTGCCGACAAATAAATAAATGTACTTATTATAGAGATAATAAGTGGGAAATATAAATTATTATTTATATTATGATATCACCCTATTTTGAGGGTCTTAGAAATTGAAACATTGATTATACTTGGTATAGTTGTCATTGTACTTGTTAAATGCTTCCAAGTACTGACCTCCCCTTCACGGGGGAGGCCACCTCACAGTTTCAGGTAGGGAGTAGAGCTTGCTACCAGTGCCCGTTGCCTCGGGAAGATCTAGGAAGGAAGACGTGGTTCGTGCTTCCTCCGTCTCTATTTCAAAAACATTTCAATTAATGCTCATGGATATTTTTGAATGATTATTGGGACTTGTATGCCCATGTTTGCCGGAGTGTGGCATAAACACTTGTATTAAACGTTTCCGCTGATTTCAATTGATTATTTTACATTATGTTTGTTTATGGATGTACTATTGTGAATGATATTCAAGACGCCTAGTATAGTATGGATGAGTTGGACTGCGGTTGACTATTCGTACTGTACGGCGGGTTGTTGACGTGTCCGGTAGGTCCGGGGCGTGACATCTGCCCTATACGTGAGATTCACTTTTTTCATGTTCTTTTTAATTTAATTAAGCACACTTCACTCTAAGCTAAAATATATATCTTAAAATCGAAATTTTAACACTCACTCATGAGGAGTCCAGGCCATTTCATAATAGAGCTGATATTTGAGAATGGAGATAAAACCAAGAAAACATTTGGGAGCGAACCTGGACACTTTTTTGTGATGAAGCATGTAACACTTCCAAAAACTTCTCGAGATAAGGCTATTTTAAATATTTCATAGTGAAAAATTTATTATTAATTTCAACAAAGATTTTACAGTTGCCTACATCATATTGTTTTCATACTTGCGTACAAAATCTAGGAATGGCAACTGAGGCAGGATTCATAAATTTGGAAGGTGGTATGGACGGTGGCAGTTTTATAATGCAGTGTGAAAAATGTTTTTTAATGTTTCCCGAAACCCTTATGTGTATGGTTGTTGATACTGAACTGGAGATCTGTGTTTGGTGTTATACTAAATACGAGCTAGATTTTCTCATTGATGGAGTCCCCCCAACACCGACACTGCCTTCACCGACAGTTATATATGGAGATCATGATCTGGGGTGGTGCTTTAAAATAACTTTTGATACAAATTAAAGTTTGTGGTATTTAAATTACATATGCAAAGGTTGGGGTATTTATCTCACACCCCTTCAAAGGTTGGGGTATTTTATTTATTTTACCCTTAAATGTATTAGAGAACATATTTGGTATAAGTTTGTCAATTCCTTTCAATGAAATCTAATCAATTGCATCCAATATGTATATTTGTATAATTATAGGAATATGAAATTTGTATAATATTTTCTAAAATTTTTAATTTCAATGTTTCGGAAATAATTTCTTATTTGTTTTACATTGCTCGGCGTGGAAATAAATTACTTTTTTGTATTTAGAAATAAAACTTTGTTTAGCATAAAATATACTTTTTTTTTTGGGAAAGTGGAAGTTATTATTTCCACAGGTTATAAGTATGAGAAACATTTTTTATTTGGTAGATATATTTATTAATGCATGGGCTTTTTTATTAACACGTGTCATTGGTCTGTATCGATTTTCCAATACAGTTATTGTTCGGTTGGTGTGGATCTGTCTATTAAATACCATTTATTTTGGGTACTCAATATTTTTTTATTATTTCGGTCTTTGAAAAAAATAAGGAAAAATTGAAAATAATAATCCCAACTATTGCCGGTCCGCTAACAATAATCCCAACTATTGGTTATTTTTGTATAATCCCAACTATATGGACCATCCGCCAATAATAGTCCATGACCAAATATTACCTTCTATAAAAGTGAATTTTAAATAGAAATTAAGCGTAAAAATTAAAAGTTAAGATTATTTATAGAGATTACTTGCTATATCTCTTCTCATCCACTTCAGAAAGTACATGAATTTATTTACAGGGACTGTTATTGGCAGAAGGACCCTAAAGTTGGGATTATTCTAAAATAATCGATAGTTGGGATTATTATAAGCGGACCGCCAATAGTTGGGATTATTACAATCAATTTTTCCAAAAAATAATTATTATTAATTGTTTTGGCATCATTGGTCACAACAAATAAAAAAATAAGTGGGCTTTATTTATATGCACCATTCTACTATTTTTTAGATCATTAGTGAATATAATCTGTGTATTAAATAAATTACTTGAGCAATTTTCAAATTGCAAGTTTTGTTTTTTGCCTCTTTTGGTTATTATTTTTATGTCCAAACTAGATTTGTGATTGGATGGTGTGGATTTGATTTTGATTCATTTTGCATAATCATTTTTGTTTGTTTTTTGGTACCCAGTTGTTTAGTTTTTGTAATTATATCGTTAAGCTAATACTATAACTAACAAGGAAATGTGGTGTTGCCTTTAATGAAAGAACCCCCTTCATTCCTATTTGAATTGAATTTTTAATGGATGAGGGTGTATTTTGGCATTGCTCCCTTTGTAAATATATCCCAATATTTTTTAATTTTTGTGTTGCCCTTGGTTGTGCGCTCTTAAAATTTATGTAGATGCTTTTGAAGACGAATTTGTCCCTCATTCTCCAAATCATCCTCGCGGTGTTGATAAGCGTTCAACTACAAGTATTGTACAATGCGACAGCGGTTCAGTACAACATCAAAACACCCCGTTTTTGGATATTAGTAGTGGTAACATTGTTAATGATGTAGTCTGGGTTTTTTTTAACCAACGTTGTGTGGTAATTATATATTGCATAAATAATTTTATTAAAATGTTGTAATATTGTGACAGAAGGTTGCGATAAACAAGCTCCCAAGGAGTCCCAGATTACAGTCCATATGGCTTCAACGTTTGTTGACGTGGAGGATGAGGGCCCCATTGATTATAGTGATGCGGATGATGAGTACGACGATTATGAGACCTTTCTTGCACACAACCATAACAGAGCCGTCGGTGCGTGTTGAACAATAATCAGTAGCATTATCCAACCAAACAAATATGTAGTTTTCTGTAATTTTGTTGTCTGCTTTTGAATTGTAGAGTATTGGGACATTGGTGATGCACAATATGTGTGTGGATTTTGCAATGCCCTTTTTTGGTTTGAGGAACGTGTTGTTTCCATGTCTTCTAAGAAGAATCCTAAGAATTCGTTGTGTTGCTGTCAAGGAAAGGCTGTCTTGCCTTTCATGAAAGAACCGCCCTCATTCCTATCTGAATTGATCCACGGTTTTGATGAACGTAGCAAACATTTCATTGAAAACGTGAGATCATACAACAGTATGTTTTCATTCACCTCAATGGGCGGTAAGGTTGCACAAAATTTTCAATAAAGGAAAGTCTCCCCCAATTTTTAAACTTCATGGGCAAAATTATCACCTAATCGGGAGCCTGTTGCCTCCACCTGGATCAAAGCCTAAGTTCGCCCAATAGTATATTTATGACACGGAAAATGAAGTTCAAAATAGAGTTTCATCTGTTGGGTAAGAAGAGTCTGCATTTATTTAATTTCGTTGCACATTTTATAATGGATTTATAAATCTGATTGTAATTAATTTGTTGCAGTGATGATACTAAGACAAGGAAGTTACATGAAGGTATAGTTGTTGGGTTGACTAAGATGCTCAAGAACAATAATGTGTTGGTAAAATCATTTCATCTTGCTAAAGAGAAAATAGATACGAATAATGTGCCGAATGTGAGGCTGAAGCTAATTGGAAAGCGTTACGGGGATGGAGGACATATAATTTACCGTCTGTTTCTGAGGTCGCAGTTTTGGTTGTTGGAGATTTTGACGAATCTCTGGGTGTGAGGGATATATTGGTTGAAACACAGTCAGGTGCGCTTTAAAGGATAAATGAACTGAATCCGACCTATTTTGGCTTGCAATATCCATTATTGTTCCCTTATGGGGAGGACGGTTACCGTGAGGATACGCCGTTGTCCAAGGGTGGTAATGTTGTTGGAGGTGGTAGACAAAGAGTGAGTGTCAGGGAGTTTCTTGTGTTTCGTCTACAAGAGCGTTGTGACAATCATTCATCAATGTTGAGGACAAAAAGGCTTTTTCATCAATTCATTGTTGACGGTTATACCTTGGTCGAGGCTGTGAGGTTGAGATTTGTTAGGACGCATCCAACGCAGCTTCGTTGTGAGATGTATAAAGGTTTGAGTGATGCTTTTTTGCGTGGAGAAAATGATTCACGTACACAGGGTAAGAGAATTGGGTTGCCTCCTACCTTTACTGGAGGAACACGTTATATGATACAAAATTATCAGGATGCAATGGCCATCTGCAGGTGGGCAGGTTATCCAGATTTATTCATAACCTTTACGTGCAATCCAAGATGGCTTGAGATAGATTGTTTTTTGCATCAGAGGAATTTGAAAGCGGAAGATCGGCCCGATATAATTAGTCGTGTTTTCAAGGTCAAGCTTGACAGTTTGATTAGACATCTGCGCAAAAATAAAGCCTTTGGAAACGTTCGAGGAGGTAGTGTCTCCAGTTCATTCCTTATAACATTAGCCCCATGTCGATATTATTTTACCTCATTTGTTTATTTTGCAGTTGTTCACAAAAATGAGTTTCAAAAGCGTGGTTTGCCTCATGCGCATATTTTGCTGTGGTTAGCGACAGGGTAATATCTGCCGAAATTTCGGATATAAACGTTGACCCAATGTATTATGCTGCAGTGAGGGATTTTATGATGCATGGCCCTTGCGATAATGATGCAAAGTCTGCGCCTTGCATGGTTGACGGTAAATGTACCAAGCACTTTCCTAAAAAATGGTGTGCAGAGACAACAGTGGACGACGACGGTTATCCAATGTATAAGAGGAGATATGATGACCGCAGAATAACCAATAATAAGGTTGATTTGGACAATAGGTTTGTTGTTACGCACAGTCGTTATTTATTGATGAAATATGGAGCCCATATGAACGTAGAGCGGTGTAATCAGTCAAGGTCAATCAAATATTTGTTTAAATACATAAACAAAGGCCGTGACTGGGTCATGGCAGGGTTTTACCAGACAGTTGATGGTGATGCAGGACAAAAGCCAGTTGATGAGATACAAATGTACTATGAATACAGATACATTTCTGCTTGCGAGGCTGCTTGGCGCATATTTGGGTTTGAAATTCAATATAAGACCCCGCATGTTGAACGTCTGAGCTTCCATTTACCGGAAGAGCAAAGTGTTGTTTTTCGCGATGATCAGCCACTGGATTCAGTGGTTCGCGCATCTTCTGTTAAGGATAGTATGTTCACGGCATGGATGGAGGCCAATAAGAAGTACCCGGAAGCAAGACTTTTGACGTATGCAGAGTTTCCTCAGAAGATTGTTTGGAAAAAGAAGACAAGAGAATGAGCTCCCAGAAAACAACCATTCGCTATTGGTAAAGTCTACTATGTCCATCCCGGTAGCGGTGAATCTTATTACATCCGATGTCTTTTGAATCACATTCGTGGTGCAACAAGTCATCAGGATTTGAGAACCTTGAATGGTGTCAATTATGATTTTTTTCGTGATGTGTGCTATGCATTGGGCTTGCTCGACGATGATAAAGAATTCATTGATGCTTTTGTTGAGGCAAGTCATTTCTCGTCTGCCTATTGTTTGAGGATTCTATTTGTAATATTGTTATGGACAGAGTCAATGGCTAAACCGGAGTACGCTTGGAAAAAATATTGGTCTTTCATGGCTAATGACATACAATATATGTGAAGGCGAATATTACAGCATCCAGGTGGTGATTGCCATGCCTATTTATTATTTCAATATCTTATATACTGACGATGTGAATTTTTGTGACCGTTACTTTCAATTTTATTTAACAAATTATCTTAGCCCTAACGTATTTTCAATTTAACTGTATTTCTTTCCAGATCTAATTCTTTCTAACGACCAATTAGAGAGGTTTGCTTTGGAAGAAATAGAAAGGTTGTTACAAACCCGTGGAAAAAGTTTGCGCGATTACCCTCTGATGCCTACAGTGGTTCTCGATTCGCTCTTATCTTCTAATGACAAACTTATATTTGAAGAATTGGGTTATGATCAAAATGCAATGAAAGAGGAGCATTCAACGTTGTTCAAATCTCTTACGGATGAGCAACTACAAGTGCATGATACGATAATGCGATATGTTGATGAAGAGGTCGGGGGTATATATTTTGTTTATGGGTAAGGAGGTTCAGGAAAGACATTTGTGAGGAAGACCCTTTCTGCTATTAATGTAAGAGATTTTTCATAAAATATTAATAAAATAAAAGTCATGGGCAAAAATATGACTAAAGTGGGGTGAATACACTTTTATAGTCACTAAGTCACTTAATCACTTTGATCTAAAATTTGAATATAATTATAGACATGAAAAGTTACAAAGCCATATTTTTTATCCAATTTTCTTATTTTGGTTATATATTAAGAATTATTTCTGATGTAACTCTACAATTTAAAAATTCCAACTACAACTCTAGCTCTGAAAACCACGTGATCACCCCAACAATCTTATATTCTTATCGAGATGTTGCAACCACCACCACCACCATGGTCTCAAACGTGGCGACTATGATCATCTATAATGAATTGTTAAACCTCCAACTTAATCACTTGCAACGCTGCTCTGCAAGCTTCTTACGGCCACGACTCCACACTTCCACAGTCGTCATTTTTAATCACTACACTTATAATCACTTTGATAATCATCATTCTACACAAACACTTGTAATCAATGACAATGTTATAAAAATGTCACATTTTAAAGCACATTATCATCCCGTAAAAATACAAGGACCTCGGAGGTTGTAAGTTATAACATTGTGTAAACAACTAGCTAAAGGCTGAAGCAGTTTACTCAACACAGATCCATACCATTCGTTGAATTGTAAATGTACAGAAAACCGCTCCCTAAAAAATCATCAACAAAAGTACAAAACATTCCATGGACCCGTAGTATCACATTTTAAAATACAACCAATTAACCAAATTGCTTTCCGCCCACAAGTGCTATTTTTTAGCCAATTGAACTGTACAAGATCATTTCTCAGATGTTGTAACATTGGGTAAACAGTTAGTTGTAGCAGTTTACTCTGCACAGGTCCACAACATTTGTTGACTTGTAATTGTACACAAAACTGCTCCCTCAAAAATTATCAATAAAACATACCCGTCACTGATTTTTATTTTTACATAATGTTTATAACCAAAATCTAGTCTACATGCCTTTAAAACTTCCATCGGCAAAAACATGTGGCTATTGCTACAACATTGACAATTCCACTGGAAACAAAGAACATAAGCATTCCTTAAAGAAGCTTCAAGTGTGGCAAAAATAAACATAAAATTTTTGTCTTATTGTCCAGCCTACTCATTAGTTATAGCAGCTTCTCTGCAATTTGAACAGCATTCAGTGCAGCTCCCTTACGAATTTGATCACCACAAACAAATAGGTCCAACCTTTTCAGAAGCACACATATAGTGTGATTTTAGCACCCAAAAAATATAATAGGAACAGTACATACATACGATGTATACACACACACATACATACACATAAAGAGAGTATGGTGTAGACAGGAGAGTCAAGTAGAAATTCATTTGGAGGCAAAAGAAGTGAACAATTGTTGTGTTAATGAAGTATCTAATAGCTTTGTAATTAATAGCAATAAAAGATTATGTTTAAGTTGTATTAAGAGTTATAAGTTATAAATAAAACTACAATATGTTTAAATAAAGTAATTACATAAACATTAGAAACATAAAAAATTCAGATCTAATCTAGAGACTAGAGATAATAAGATAAGATTACAAAACTCGAGATGTTATGATTTTTTTTTGAAAGTCGAGATGTTATGATTTTAAAATGTAACAATGCAGAGTACTACGTTATATTCAAGCGTGAGAACTCCATCTATAAAGATGGTATAAAATACAATAATAATTAGCTATAGTTATTAATGATCAGCTAAAAAATAAGAAAATAATGCAAAAACATGCACTCATTTAATCCTGCCATTAGTAAACTAACAAAAAAAGGAATTAGGTCGCTCCCAAGTCCACACATATGTACAAATGGTTGTACTAAATTCAATTCTAAAATTGATAATACTCAAGAAGAATTTTATGCGACGGAGGGAGTACTTTCACGTCTTCTTGAGTAATAATATTACCGTTTTTATTTATTCATAAACGGCTAAATGTTTTTCGATAGTAATTACATATATTAAGTACTTGAGATATAGAGAAAGTAATGTATAGATTAGTCATCATTATTATAAATTATATTGATTGCCATCATCTTCATCAGACAAAAAAGTCAAGACCAAGGGAATGTTTATACAGAGTAGTAGTTAATGTGTCTCTAACAATTATCGTATGTGTAATCCTAATACGTTTATATCGTGTTTTCAATTTTTAGACAATTAGTACATACATACACATTACGCATGAGACAAAAAAAATCAAAGAAAAAATAGTTTCATATGTAACTGTTTTAATTTACCCAAAGTCACCGTCTTGGGAAATGTCACGGCGAATCCTCCCAACGGCAACATCATCTTTGTTGGAAACTGCCAATGGTGTGGGGAAGCTATTTGCAGCACGATCATCAATGACCACTATACCTGGCGCACTGTTAAGAATATCCTTTGCAGTCTCCTGCATATGATAATGATGATGATGATTAAGAAAAGAACATCAAAATCGATAAATTGTTCGAATAGTAAGACCAGAATTGTTTTTTGGCCTATGAAATAGATGAAACATCCCAGATCCAATGACTAGCAGATCCCAAGGAACTTAGATGATTCATTTTACCAACCTTGATGATTAATTGTTTAATTTATTTGACCAAAGTGAATGAAATGCCAAGTGAAAGTAGTGTGAAACCAGCCAGCTCTTTCATTTAACATTAGTGATTGAAGATTGACGTTGCCCAAGTACTTTCCAGAAAAGAATTTGCATGCAATCATAATGTACTCATTCAAACAAAGGCCATAAGAGTTATCAGTGCAAATTGAGGGTAATACACAAAAAACATGTTTGAGTACATGTTTTACATGCACATTAATACATATGCAATTAGACGCACATTATCGCAAATCCTAACTTTAAAGTTTTAACACAAACTCAACAATCAATTAAAAGAAGCTTTTCCACTGCCTTTTAGACAAGCAGTGTTCTTTTAAAAAAATAATCTCTAGTTATACATGTGTTGGCAAAAAATGATCAACCTATTACGAAGATTACTATCGTCATTCACCCTTTCAAGACCCAAACCCTTTTTTCATACAACTCTAAATTTCAATCTCAAATGCTTTTCTATGATGTGATCAACTGCTTCTATGTTTTTCGTGGAAGAGAGAACAAATTGGGGATTTGAAAATAAATTACATTTTTGCCCTTCTATTAACCATATGTTAATACTAAAACTAATGGTGGACTAGAAGTGACACATAACCAATATTGAAAAACAAAAAATGTTGAATTTAAATGAGGGGACTGGACGTGAAAAAGCCTCTATTGTCTGAGCAGAAAAATGGTATTAATTCAAATAGGAATACCCACTTTTTATGAGTTTCCAATATTTTATGAAGCATCTGTGTGACTCTACATTGGTAGATACCAGTCCATCAAACCTAATTGAAACATGTTGATGCATAAAACTGTGCAGATACATAGTCAGAAATGTAAAATATACCAACATTCCGCAAGCTCAATAAAAATTATAGCCCATTATCATTCTCAAATTAAATTGCCAGCAAAACTTGAGTAGCGATATCATAAACTAAACCTAATAAAAAAAAGTACCTCGTTAAGTGGTTTCTCGAATTGAATATTCACACTCTCAGCATGCGCACGCATAACAGGGACTCGTATACATGTTGCTGTTACTTTCACATCCTTATCATTCTACAAAGGAGTTAAAAAGCTTGTTCAAAGAAGAGGCACTAGGGGCATAGTGCAGATAAAGTATTAACCCAGCTGTTAAACTTTTACCCATATCTTCCTTGTCTCTTTTACCAACTTCATCTCTTCTTCATTGTATCCATTTGATTGAATAGATGCATTGTGTGAGAAAAGGTTGAAAGCATACTGCAAGATGTTTAATTAATTTTTTTATGCAAAGCAATATCTTCCATCATATAATAGGTGTTGTATAGCATACAAAAGAAGAAAGTCATAAAAACCTGCTGCTTGAAGATGTTACATGTTGGTTCTTTCCCTTCCAAGACCTATTTCAGAAATGGAAGCACTCAGGACCATCTCACAATGCCTAACGAAAACATTTTTCGAAAGAGATTTTACATATAAAGGAACATTAGGACAATACAATAGAAAACCTCACGAGTTTGCTGAACAAGCTCTTCCATGGCAGCAGCACCAGCACCACTGGCAGCCTGGTAAGTGCTAACTACCATGCGTTTAACCTATGACAAGATGAAGAACATGCATATAAATTTAATAAGTGATTTCCTCTTATCTATGGGGAATACAAGATGGGTATGATATCTTTTGTGAATTTTAAATAAGATTCCAAGTGTGATGGTTGGTTGAAAAGCTATGACAATGCAGAAAAATAGATGTTCAAAAACTATAATTTTAAAATCGGGGATAATGACGGATGCATAGCACATACTGCAGAATATACTCTTATTAGTAACTTAGTAAGACAGATTAGCAATAGTCAAGAAAATGAGCCGTGACATAATAATAACAGAGGAGAGATACATCATTGTTGCAGTCCTCTAAGATTCAAGAGTCTGCCTTTTCATAAGAACTACCAACTGATACAACATTAAGTATAAATACCAAAACTTTAGTATAAATACATCACTAAGATTCAAGAGTCTGCCTTTTCTTTTAAGTATAAATACCAAAATTTTAATAAGTAAAATCTACTCCGAGTATAAAACTCATGATACAAACAAACCCAAAATTTAAAGTTATCAAATTTA